TTCATCCTTAAAAGTTGACTCGTTGGAATGCAAAGTCGTCTTCGCACCATCCTCTAGGCTTTTGTTTTTCACTCTATGCTGCCATGTGCTGTCACTGCGAAAGTCGGATTCATGAATATCAGCAGAATTACCTGAATACGACGCTGCTGTATTCTAATATACGAGGCTGTATGGTTATTTAGGGAGTGATTCTTGTAATGTTGTTACATGGCTTAATATGCATGATTTACTTCAGGTTGAGTCATTCATGTTTTCTTACTTCTAGCAGGCACCGATGAGGGGCCTACTTTCTCTTCGAAAGACTAGTTTGCTTCGGGGGCAGGCCGACAGGTGGGGGATAGGTGTTAGGTCATTCAGCACTGAAGGTGCCAAAACTGCTAGTACCCCTCCACCGCCGCCGCCTCCTCCTCCAGAGAAAACCCATTTTGGTGGACTAAAGGATGAGGATCGAATTTTCACCAACTTGTATGGATTGCATGATCCTTTTCTGAAAGGTGCCATGAAACGTGGTGACTGGTACAGGACAAAAGATTTGGTATTAAAGGGCACTGATTGGATTGTGAATGAAATGAAGAAGTCTGGTCTCCGAGGGCGTGGTGGTGCTGGTTTCCCATCTGGCCTGAAGTGGTCTTTCATGCCAAAAGTATCAGATGGCCGTCCTTCCTATCTTGTAGTCAATGCTGATGAAAGTGAACCAGGAACATGTAAAGATAGGGAAATTATGCGTCATGACCCTCACAAGCTTCTCGAAGGATGCTTAATTGCTGGCGTGGGAATGAGGGCATCTGCTGCCTATATTTATATAAGGGGTGAATACGTAAATGAACGTTTAAATCTTGAACGGGCCAGAAAAGAGGCTTATGAAGCTGGACTGTTGGGAAAGAATGCATGTGGATCCGGCTACGATTTTGACGTCCACATCCATTATGGTGCTGGAGCTTATATTTGTGGTGAAGAGACTGCACTATTGGAAAGTCTCGAAGGGAAACAAGGGAAGCCAAGGTTAAAGCCACCTTTCCCAGCTAATGCCGGCTTATATGGCTGTCCTACCACTGTTACCAATGTTGAAACTGTGGCTGTTTCTCCTACGATTCTCAGACGTGGTCCAGATTGGTTTGCCAGTTTTGGAAGGAAAAACAATTCGGGGACAAAATTGTTTTGCGTGTCGGGTCATGTAAACAAGCCTTGCACAGTCGAGGAGGAAATGAGTATACCATTGAAGGAACTGATCGAAAGACACTGCGGCGGCATTAGGGGTGGATGGGATAACTTACTTGCAGTAATACCCGGTGGTTCATCTGTACCACTTCTCCCAAAGGACATATGCGATGATGTGCTGATGGACTATGATGCTCTTAAGGCTGTCCAGTCTGGTCTAGGAACAGCAGCTGTTATAGTGATGGATAAATCCACCGATGTTGTCGATGCAATTGCCAGGCTTTCTTATTTCTATAAGCATGAGAGCTGTGGGCAGTGCACACCCTGCAGGGAAGGCACAGGATGGCTCTGGATGATTATGGAAAGGTTGAAAGTTGGGAATGCAAAGTTGGAGGAGATTGATATGCTGCAGGAGGTGACCAAGCAGATTGAAGGGCATACAATATGTGCTTTAGGTGATGCGGCTGCTTGGCCTGTCCAGGGTCTCATTCGGCATTTTAGGTCAGAACTCGAGAGAAGGATTAGGGAGCGTGCCGAGAGAGAGTTGCTGGAGGCTGCTGCTTAGTTTTTATACTCAGGTTTCTTCTCCAATCTCTTCTCAAATTATTTCTTGTGCTATCGTATAAGTAAGTGGAAAGAATTTATGGCTCACATTTTATGCATACTCATGTGCTCTCTTTTTTTTGCCTTTTTCTTTCTGTCAGTGACTAGACTCTGTTAGATTATTGAGTGGCTGGTGAGATGATGATGGATGGATCAAGTAACTGTAAATTTAAACCACCAAGATGAGAAATGCGGGGTGCGGAAGGACTAAATGTTGCTTTAGTATAGTTGCAAGTTGAAATATTCAAAAAGGGAATAGTCATTGCTTATATTTCAATATTCCTTGCTAGCATTTGGCAATGGTGACGCAGAGGGGCTTGAATATGACATATTGCTGAGCTCAAGGGGCAATTTGAATCTGCTATGCGGACATTCTTATGGTCTTTTACTTGTTCAAACATGGTTGTATTTTTTAGCTGTGATTGTGAAGTTACTACCTACATTTCTTATTGGGACCTATTTTGGTCCTTTTTTCTTCATAGGTAAATCCCTTTGTTGGTGGTTTATGTTGGAATAACAAGAAGAACTACCCAAAAATTTGGGTTGATGGGTGGATCTGGCTTCTGGATCTTCTGCATTTCTATTTCTTGCTAAGCTGCACGGTGAGTTTATTCACTGCCGAGGAAACTTATTCTCTCTCTCAAATATCTGGACCGAAGTTATGTATTGTCATTTCATGTATTATGGGAACACTAAGTAGCTCCCATTTTCCTGAGAGTTTGTCAATAAATCTTTGTATGTCGTCCTCTTTGGGTGATTTTGCTTGTTTGTAAGTAGACGTGGGAAAGCATTTCCTTTGAGACAGTATTAGTGTGCGGCCTGTCCAGAATCTTGAATTTGAGAATGGAAACACACATTCACGCACCACATGCTTGGTGCATTTCAAGTCCGAGCTCCGCCTGACTCAATTTGTCGGCTGCTACGAAGCTCTCTGTCCTTTGGCCTTGTCTGTTAAGTCCTGATTTCTGTCTTTTTGTCTGAACCGGAGGCCGTGCATGGGCGGCTAGTCCGTAGTGTCCAATGAGCTCTTGGTCCCTGATGAAATTGGCATCTCGAATTCTCTCCCGTCCCTTGTCTCGGCAGAGCTAGGTCGCAGGAACTACCTTTTTCTGGCACTAAATATATCAGTTACTGTTGTCCGAACTTTTTTCAAACTGCTCAACCGAAGGCATAGCCATAGGACATGTGTGATTGGCCTGGACTTGATGAAGTATTGATTGGGTTGCCCTGAAACAATGTTTGTTCTAAATATTGAGATCTTAACTTCCAGTGAGGATCGTCACCCTAGAATTCACTTTCCTCTTTCTTTCTCAATGGTTATCCAAGAAAGCTTGGATTTCTGTTTGTCTTGTCAAATCATCATGCTTCTATGTTGGGCTTTCTGAGAGCTTTCTGAGATCCCCTTGACTTAAAAAAAGGTAAACTGATCAAATCTTATCACCTAACAATCATAGAACATCATTTGCGAATGTAACTGCGTGGTTCATCTACTTGTAAGGGCAATGTGTCGTAATCTCGGATGCTTAAACGAGTCGGCACTCAATGAGATCAATCTTTGCATCAAAGTAAACATTTTAAGTTCGTCTCAGTGAGATCAATCTTTGCATCAAAGTAAACATTTTAAGTTCGTCTCAGAGAGGCAGTAAGTGAAAAGACAGGCAAAATCCATATCAAGCTTTCAATGATAAATATATATATATATATATATATATATATATATATCGAACGTATATATAAAATTGATCGAGTCTGGACTGGCCGAAGCAGGGGCTAAGGTAGAAGGGTCAAGCATGATAATGGAATCGCTCGTCCAAACACATTTTTCCTTTTCAGACCGACTGAGCTTAATCGGATGAGCTGGTCTACGGCGCCCGATCCATCATCACATTTAGTACAATGCTCTTAATTGTGTTTAGTACATGTCACATGATCCAACGGTTGAGATGCTTTCACGAGCGCCAAATTGGTTTTCTAGTATTTACGTGAATTTACTGTTATATTCAAAAAAAAAATCTCTTTATCAATGTTTGACTTTCATTTAATGAACATCTACTCAATCTTTATAATTTATCTATAGGACTTTTAGTCATTTGCAACCATGTACAATCTTTTCGTGATCTTTTTCAGTGTAATAATTTGCATGATTTCAACGAAAAGGAAAGTAAGTAACTTTTATTTAGAAAAAAAGTCGAAACAAACAAATCCGTGAAGAATCATAACATGCGTTAGATTCATGTAAGCACAATGCACAGTTGACCCTGATTTTTTTTGCATTTCATGTGGGGCCCCAATAAGTTGGGGGTCCAAGTATGATGCAGTCAATCTATTAATTGGTTTATAAAAAGGGTTGAACTAGACCACCACTTAATAGGTACATAACACGATATAAATTAAAATTTATATTAAATAATTAGAATCAATATAAAGTTAGATAATCACTCGCTTAGCAAAGTATTCCTTTTGTGATTTAGTAATAAAGGAGTGAGGCTTTTACTAAAAAGAATATGTTATTTCCATTATAAAAATATAAAATTTGGGGGAAGGCACTCGTTTTTGTCCGAGAGACTATGACCATAACGTATAATTCCACTGAAATTTTTAGAGCCAAGGCCCCCCTCGAGATTTGTCGCTGCACTGGAACCCTATCGCATCGAATCTCAACTGCTCAAAACATGATCATCACAAAGTGTATTTTCCACGTTACTGTAGCGCATCGATGGCGATGGATCTGCTGAGGCCGCTTTGCAGAATCGATATCGAGATATATCTAGCTCATTTGCCTCTTTTTTTTCTCCTCTTTTTGACCCTTTTTCATTGGTAAAAAGGTAAAAGTAAAAGCAGTACAGCTGGAGGCATTGCAATTCGCATTTGCAATAATGCCAGATATTCCTGACTTTTTCATTGAAACTTTTTTTCCCCATCTCCCCTTTTCAGTTTCATATTCGGTTCTCGCCGAAACACGACACACACACACATGCTTCCGCACTATCGCTTTGACCTGCGAGGAGCAAAGCTCGTATCTAAAAGCTGCTCTGACAAATCTCTCTCTCTCTCTCTCTCTCTTCGCTCTGTACGTTCTCTTCCTTCCACGTTTCACGCACTCTTCTCTCTCTCTCTCTCTCTCTCTCTCTATCTCTAATGGCGACTTCCCGACAACTGGTCGGCTCGTGCCCGTACGTAATATTCCCTCCGTTTCGATTTCCAACCCCTTGAACATCGCATTTAGCCGTCGTCTCTTTCGGCTTCGCGTTTGCTGGTTTTGCTTTGGATCGGTTTCTTTCTGGGTTCTTTTATTTTTTTTCCTGAGAAGTAGTTGGCTTTGTCCTGTGGCTCTTTTGCGGTTTCTTTATATTCACGGGTGCAATGCGGATCATGTAGAGACTTGTGTTTGGTGGGTTTATTGATTTTGACTAGGATTTATTAAGATTTCTTTAAATGCTCTCGCTTGATGTGCATACCGCGTCCTTGCTCTATGTTTCTCTTAATTTTATATTTGGAAACACCGCGTCTGATGGTCTCTCTCCCTCTAGAAGGTAAAGCGTATGGAATGGTCAGGAGGTGATTGGCTTGATCTCTAGTTTCATCTTCTTGTATTGGGTTTCTCTGCTCTTCAGACCCAATGAAGCAGAACGCTTCTGATGATGGAAGTGTTTGGCGATCAGCTGATTAAGTGGGGTGGGGTGTACCCAAGAGTTGTAGTGTTCTTTTGTCAATTTCTCATTCTTCAAGTAGCTTAAAAGTTTGTAATTTGAGCTGTTTCAGCAGCACGCAAGTTTTTCTTTGTTGCTTCCGGTGCATAAGATTGAGGTTGTTTTGGTTTCAAGCATCTTGCTTCTGGCATAAGTTTGTAGACATTCGGGTGATTGCTCTTGAGCACCATTTATGCCACTTTCCTTCTTGTTGTCCTGTCTATGCTATGAGGTGATACCCAGATATTTTCTGGATGTAGAAATGCTGCAATGGATGGTAATATCGACTGAGACTTGATTGGCATTTGCTGTCAAAAATGGTTCTCGGGTTGAGATCGAAGAGCCGAAAAAGCGTCGCACTTCAAGTCGATTACCTTATCCACGTAGAACAGATTAAGCCCTGGCCCCAATCTCTGAGATCTGCTCAATGTCTTTTGGTTCAATGGGAAAACGACGATAGTTCGGGATCCTTCCCTTGCAGTGCCGAGGATGGAAAGGTCGTGATTGGCGAGTCGCTTAAGCTTCCTGTTACTCTGTGCAAGGAAGCGTCCAAGAGAAGAAGCAGCAGTGATTGTTTCCAGAAGAACTGCTTGGAGTTCTCTTTATATGAGTCCCTAAAGAACAGGGCGGTGAAAGGTCAACTGCTGGGATCTGCTGTGATAAACCTTGCAGATTATGGGGTTATTCAAGAGACCGCAAATGCTAGCATTCCTGTGAGCTGTAAGAAAAGCTTGAAAAATTTGCCACAACCTGTGCTTTACATTAGCATTCAGCCCTGTGATGTGGATAGCTCCAGCTCTTCACCAAAGAGTGGACTTTCGAAAGAAGTATCTCTTGAAAAGCCTGGAAGTGGATCTGTTTCGGCTCAGGTCAATGAAGAGGATGTTGAGGTCTCGTCGTTCACTGATGATGATTTAGATGGTGATGTCCCCGTGCATTCATTGCGAATCACTTCCACCTCTCTTCCTGCAAATGTTGTCACCCTACTGTCTCGAGATGATAAGGTACTTGAAATCCTTACAAGAAGACAATGTTAACTGGTATTTTTTTCCTGATGATGGAGATTTGTCCTGCTAATAGCAGGTTTTTCCATCTCTTCGGTGTGGACTTCTTCTGATATTTATTCCCTTGGCTTACTTAGTTTATATACTCCAGTCAGGAAATTTAAATGCTTTTCATCATTAGTTCTCGTTCAGGAAGGGGGCTGACATTGCCAGTAGACGTTCCTGTCGTTAAGAGATCAATGACCTCACACATTGCTGGAGAATTGGGATATCATGTACACATCGGCGTCATTTTGTTTAACTGTTATTATAATCATTGCCCCTTCCAAGTTTGGTAACCCAACCATGTGAGCAAACTCCTGAACTTGAAGCGTGACTCACCGTCATAGCTTTCATACTTGAATTATCAGATCTTGAAATTTGAAATTGAGAAGCTCGTTTCCTGTTGTTTTGCGACTTTTCCCCCATGGTGGATAATATGCAGACACATGTTTTGGTGGGAACTGTCAGATGTTTCAGACACTATAGCCTTTTTATTGTTTCTGTGAAGCATGTAAGGAGTTTGCTTCCTGAAGTAATTGTCAGCATAACAGATTCTTGCTAGCCGAGGATATTATATCACCAATAAATTAGTTTCCGCGTGTTATAAATGCTTTATTTTGTTCTTTAGCTTTCAGTCCTGTTTGTTAACAAGTACATCTGCTATTCTTGGATTGTTTTTGGTGCGCAGAGAGAACCAGGAACATCACATAATGGCAAACAAGTTGCTAATCGAGAAGATGCACTACTACTAGAAGTAGCAACTTCAAGCCAGGAAAAACATTTTGTGGCTGAAGCAAGTGAACATGGAAAAGCCACCTTTTCTTCACCATCTACAGACTTACTTGACACCGGCAACTATGCTCAAGGTTTGCTTCTTTTCTTACATTCCTTAGAAAAGTCTTATCTTATACCCGGAAGCTATCCACTATCTTCAAATATAAATTCTCATCTACAGGTCTCCAAGATATGAGAGAGTTGCACAGCAAGGAAAACACAAGTTTGCCGGAACCAATAGCTTATAAGCTCCATGAGAGAATTCCTGATGGAAGTGATGGGATTAGAGAGGGCTCTCGAGCAGAAAGTGAAGGTGATGTTATTGGAAGCTTTTCCGATGGTTCATCCTCTAATGCTCCTAATTCGGAGGGCAATATTGACACAGAGCTTGTAAGAAGCACCCTCTCTCGAGATCATGAAAACAATTGGAGTTCAAATAAAGTTGGCCTATCTCCACCCCTACATATGCTGTTAGGTTCTTTGACAGTAAAAGATGAGAATGAACAGCAAGAAAATGGCCTAGCAGAACACACGCTAAAAAAAAAGAAACATTTTCGAGATGTAGCTGCAGGTTTTCTAAAGCGTGACACCAGAAAACAGGTTGCCTTCTCGAGAGATGGTGCAGATGAGATGGGTGATTTTGTTGATGGCAATGAACTAAAACATGAAAAAGATGCGAACCTGTTATCTAATCCATCTGATAACTTTAAACTGCTTGTTAAGAGCGCTGTTGCAAAAGAGGCGAAACGGATTCACCCACGCAGAGATGACAACAAAAGTGCTACTTTTTCTGCGATAGATGATAAGAAGAAATTGGCAAACTTTTCTGCCAACGAAGCCAAGCTGGAAAACAGAATTGCTATGCTTGAGGAAGAGTTGAGGGAAGCTGCTGCTATTGAGGCTAGCCTTTATTCGGTTGTTGCTGAGCATGGAAGCTCCTCAAACAAGGTCCATTCTCCAGCTCGGCGACTATCTAGATTGTACTTCCACACTTGCAAATTAAATTCTCCATCCAAGAGGGGGAGGGCAGCCAGAGCTGTTGTTTCTGGGCTAGTTTTGGTCTCTAAGGCATGTGGAAATGACGTGCCAAGGTACTTTTGAAGCTCAAATAGTAAAAGTAATGCACAAACAATTTGACTTTGTAGATTTTGGCAGATATTCTTGCCATGCGATCGCGAATTCCACAATTGTCGGTTAAAAGGAATAGTAAACAAACCATGGAGCTTGACTCCTTAGTATCAATAGTTGATAAGTCGTGTGATATTCATGTCAAGTGAATAGTTTGGTGGGAGAAGCTGCATGATATACTGGGTTGCTTAAAAGCTGATGTGATGATGCTGCTAACTGGATTCTATAAGAAAAGTGAATCTTATTTACTCAAGAAAATTAAACTCTCATCCAGTGAATTGCTGAATTTTCCAGAATTCCTCTTCTCTTCCAGGTAAGGGTTGTCATTTAGTTGTCTTTTGTTGCAGGTTAACTTTCTGGTTGTCCAATGCAATAATGTTGAGAGCAATTATCACTCTTGCTGCCGGCAAACTGCTTGGTGAAGAATGTGTAGGCAATAAAGTAAATAAGGAAACATTGGTTGAATCTTCTGTTCACAGGATAGACAGAGACAATGCGTCAGAATATGCTGATGTGTGGGAGAATCCGTTGGCCTTTACGGCTGCACTGGAAAGGGTTGAAAGCTGGATATTTTCCCGAATAGTTGAATCCGTGTGGTGGCAGGTGAAAATATTTTTGACAGTTCTGCTGCAGTTGCTGCTTTTAATACGTTGATTGAGTTTTCATATTTTTCTTTGTCATTGTTTAACGATTTCCTACTTCTGCTACAGACTGTGACTCCACACATGCAGCCTTCTGCTGCCAAAGTTTCAAACTCAAGGAAAATCCATGGCCACTTTTCTGTTGATCTCTGGAAGAAGGCTTTCATGGATGCCCGTGAAAGGCTTTGTCCCATTCGAGCTGGAGGTCACGAATGTGGATGCTTGCCTCTACTGGCCAGATTGGTAATGAATCCACTCCTTAGTCTCTCTTGATATGCATTAGGTAATTGAGTCCGGTGCATTGTATGCGTTTGTGAAAGCTGTGCGTAGACCAACTTGCTAAAAGCATAGATGCTTACCAGTTAACCTGAGACCAGATAGTATTTATTCATGTGATTAATCAGTTTGTTTTTTTATCGTATTATGCTTTTGTGAAATCTGTTACCAGATGCTTGTCTTCCGTGTATATCTTTGACCGGTAAAATGGAACCATAGATTGATAACAAGTGCTTTGCATTTTATTTACAGGTAATGGAGCAGTTGGTAGGTAGACTAGATGTTGCCATGTTCAACGCGATACTGCGTCGATCAGATGACGAGATGCCAACAGATCCTGTTTCTGACCCCATCAGTGATTCAAAGGCGCTGCCTATTCCAGCTGGAAAATCTGGTTTTAGGCCTGCGATACAACTGAAAAATGCGGTAAGCGGTTGTCTTCTCTTTCCTTTACCCTTTTCATCCTTATTTATCACTCGTCAATGGTACTTCCTCACGAACTTCTTGAGCAATGACAGTAATTCTTCTCAAGAAAGTTCAATCTCCTGATTCGAGAGCATGTAATGCTTTTATCTGAGAGTTTGCGGGATGTCTCATTAGGGGACACTTAATTTTAACTAATTGTCAGCAGCTGAGATGGAACCCGCCTATAAGAGGTGATGAAAAGGATACTGGACTATTTGGATCACTAAGCACGAATTCACTTGAGATGTGATTGTTTTGAAATTTTTAAGGCACTATTCTAATTCTTTCATTACTTCCTATACACTGACAAGAGTATTATGGGAAAAAAAAAAGACGAGTATTAAATTTCTGACATAAGGTATACTTTATATTGCTTGGTGTCACTAGATTGGGGACTGGTCCAGATGGCTGGCTGACTTATTTGACATTGATGAGGATGACTCTCCTAAAGATGGGAACAAAACTGACGGTAGCAAGAAACAGGAAGGCGGTACATCTTTCAAAGCTTTTCCTCTCCTTAATGCCTTGAGTGATCTGATGAAGCTTCCCTTTGACATGCTGGCTGATAGAAGTGCAAGAAAGGAGGTTTTGCTCTCTCTCTCTCTCTCTCTCTCTGCTTGCCTGCATGTCTGCTCCTGCGTTATCAATTTCACCAACATCCTGTTTGCTTTTTGAAGTTTTGCCCTGTGTTTGGTGTGCCATTGATCATGAGGGTTCTCGACAATTTTGTTCCTGATGAATACTCTCCAAACCCTGTGCCGGAGGCACTTATTGAGACCCTGGACTCCGAGGTTAGTCCATTCAAGAAGTCGCTTGTGGAACAATACTGCTGCTTCGTATTCATTTTCTGTCAAGTTCTTATCCAGTTAAAATGCCACAATGATCTTTACGTACTTATCATTTGACTGATCAAACATTGATGAAGCTTTTTTCATCTTTATCCAGGATCACCTTGATGAAGACGAACAGTTGATAATAAGTATCCCACACATTGCATCACCAACCGCATATGCACCACCTCCAGCATCTTCACTTGGCACCGTCATCGGAGAGATGGGAAATCAAACCTTGTCGGGGACAGGGTCATCGGTCCTTAGAAAATCCTATACCAGCGACGACGAGCTCGACGAATTGGACTCTCCAATAGGTTCAATCATCCACGATGGTGGCCGGGTTTCGCCCACTTCACCGCTGCCAAGCTGGATGCTCGAAAGAAAGAGTGGCAGGAAGGTTGTCAGATATCGACTCCTCAAGGAAGTGTGGAGAGATGGTGAATAGTCCCTCCCATGCCTTGCTCTCCAGTTTTTTTGTTCTTTGCATCTATGTACTTCCCCTGTAATTAATCTGGTCAGCTTAATACATGTATTTTGATTTAGAAAGTTTCAAGAAAGTATCCGTATAGCAATAGCAAGTACTGAGTTTTGCTGAATGAATAATCGACTCTGGAAATGAAAGTCATGTATTTGGTGAAAATACGATCTTCAACCGCACCTTTCTGTCAGAGGGGGGTCTATTACCTTTGACTTGACTGAGCGGTTGGTACAAATGAACTTGGCGGAAAATTTTTTGTCGGGAATCATTTTTGTTACGTTTGGATCGACTAGGAAATTAACGAAAAATCCGTGCTTAACTTTAGAAAAATGACATTGTCATTTGAAATTTAGAAATTATTTTTCAAAATATGAGTGGACCCTAGTGCTTAGGCATGGGGGAACCAGGCTGAGCCAAGGCCCACAATGCCCGGGCCCGAGTCCTGCAAGGCACGGCTTGAGCCCCCGGTGGTGAGGCCCAGGACCTTGGTGCCGAGGCCGAGGTCCCCCCGAGGTCGAGATTAGGACCTCGACACCTATGCTCGAGTCTCCAATGGCCAGGCCTAGGACCCCGACAGTTGGACAGTTGGTGCCGGTCTCGATTGGCCATGCCCAACTGCTGGGGTCTTGGCCGCAGTTGTTAAGATCCCGATTAATATACGCATCGCTTCTTTTTGTGATATATTGTCATTTCTATCGACTCTTGCCAAAACAAAAAAATAGATATTAAATACCGAAAAGAAAAAGGAAGCAATCGTAAAACAAAAGGAGAGTGAAATTTATAGAATTGTAACATGATCATATAGAAGCATCCTCTTAACTCTCTATGAATAGATAGGAGCAAGTGGAGGAGAGAAAGAAATCATTCTAGTCTCAAGAAAATGCTACATAAATAGCTCGCTCTCCTTTTCCACACAAAATCGCTGGCACAAAAGATGAAGTTTTGGATAAAATGGAGGAAAGCTATCGAGAGAAAGGGGGATTTGCATTCTACTTCATGCTTTCATGTTCATTATTGATTCATACCGTTTTACGTGCTCAAAATATATTCTATCTACTTACGTTATTACTCAACAAATATCGAAATTCGAGGTTTCTAAGTTTTTCTTGAGTTAATCCTACGTGACGGAGTCGATCCACTTTCAATAAAATTTTATGTGAGCTCTAACGGAGAATACGATTGATGTGAATATTTACTTTTGTTAAAATTTACTTCATATCGTTATATTTCTCTTGCAAAACTTCTAAGTGGACACCAACATATTGAATAATATGACAAATATCCATGCAACGCATGGTCATCTTGTTAGTGCAAAATAAAGAGCAAAGGTTTTTCATGAACCGACCAAAGATATACTTACATATTAACAGATAAACAGGAGGTGATGGCTACTGTGCATCAGGGATTGATCATGAAACTTCATGATGTCGAAGATGTACAAAAATGCATTTGGTAAGAGATAAAGAAAAGCGTTAATACTACGAAAAATCCCAACTTGGTAGACATGTGACAAATTTACCATAAATAATTTTTTAATCACAAAAAACCCAAAATTGGTACACTTGTGACAAATTTACCCTCCGTTAGTTTCAGTTAAATTTTACCGTCATATTGCTGAATTGGATGGCACGTAACAGTTGACGTATACTAGTTTGGGGTGTTTTGCGGTAAAAAAAATTAGGCGAGACATGTTGCTAGGAAATGACGATAATTTTTTCGATATAAATAGGCCTCAGTATTTTAAAATGTCAATTGACCTCTTTTCTGTAGTACAAAAGAGTTTTTTCTTCCCTTGAGTGAAAAGGACATCCATATTCTATTTCCACTACCGGCTCTATTTGTTTCCCAAAAATAAATAATTTAGAGAATATTTACCAAAAAATAATCGCTTATATCATTTACAAAAATTAATGAATGAAAAGTATTTGATCGTCCACAAAATGTTTAGACATAAATTATTGTCGATAAAGAAATTTTTTTCATTAACTTCATATTTCAAGCGATCACTTTTAGGAAAATGATTTTCAATATTTTCCTTGAAGCATTAGCTACAAATATTATGTGTAATGACAAATGGTGCATTTATGTGGCTCTCTATCAATCTGGATCATCATCACGTCCATGCTCAACAAGAATCTTAAAATGCACGAATTATATGAACACTCAACGCTTCTGGATCTTTAAATTTGCCAAAGTCCACAAAATATGTTTCAAATCTTTTGCCTACGAAATATTTTTCAAATATTTTTTGAATATATCATTTTGATATAATCTTTTTTGGCTAAAATTATATTCTTAATAACATTTTGATATAATCTGACAGTTTATATATGCGTACCGATAATTATATTCTTGTCTCGACGATATGCATTGACAACATCTAATTTCATGCGAGTAAATGAACGAAGGATCTTCCTTATCTAACGAGAAATACTAAACATAAAACGAGAAAGATGGCTCATCGGAATTTATAAAATTTTCTTATTTGATGTTTAACAAGTGTTTCGGAGCACACGTCGGTAAGATCCGAATTACATATGCAATTGGGAAAGGTCAAAAAGGGACCACGTGACACTCCTGATCTATGGACACAAAAAAGAGAAAGATAGGAAGTAGGCCTTTTCAACTCCCACTTGGAAACTTCAATGTCGTTAAAAGAGTTAACAGCCATTCGTTTTTCCAACTTAATCGCGGGCAGAATTAGAAATTTCACTCTCCGATTGTCTATGACCTCCCGAGCAGAAATCCCAATATTACCAGGTGCAGAAATTTTGTGCTTTCTTTCTTTTTTATTGTTATCATTGTCTTTCTGGTTACATTTGGAGAAACCCCATCTAAATTTAAGGTCTCTCTCTGCTGATAATCCTCATTAGAGTCGTTACAAATTTCTGCAGGAAGCTCTTCTGGTTGATACTAAACGTTTTGACACCATCTTCCTTGTCAGAGGTATGAAACAGGGGTGTTTCATCTAGTTGAAAATTTCCCATTTTCTCGTGCTCTTTTCCAGTGATCTTGTGGTCCTCTTTTTAAACTTTGATAGGTGTTACATTTGTATTTCATCCCACAAAGATAAAGTTTTCTTGGAATAGATTAAATGGTCGTTTTTTTCTTTGTGATTTTGTGTCGGCTTAGACTACCTGAGCTTTTTGCCTACCTGCAGCTTGTATATTGTTAATCTGCTGCTAGGAGTTGGTATGAAAGAGAAAAACAAGCTTTGTCATTAAGTTCAGATATTGTAAAGTTCTGATCTCATAACGTGGTAGATATCGATGTCTGTAATTATCCCATAAAGAAATTCCATATTTGTAGTTCAAATTTGCTTCCCGAAACAAATATGCCACATTCTTGAGAAGGTCTAGAATGCATCGTGTTACGCCGGATGGTAAATTCCTGAATCTTTTGCATCATTCTCATAAAAAGAAGCACTTTTTTTTTCGTAAATGAAAAGTTAAATAATTTTTGTACTGCAAAGACTCCGAAAATGTTCATTTCTCACGTCAAAACGAAGTTCCTCTCCTGTGTATCTGAAGTTTTGTCGCTCAGGATATGTCGGTTCTGGATACTATAAGAGTACGGAGTGCAACGTATGTAGAGTGATGCAGATTCTAACTCAATCTATTGTTTGAATTGCAAAGGCACATCTCAAGATGAATCATAGCTCATAAGTTGGCAACAGGTCTATGTTTGTGGGTTAACATCCAAAGCATAACCAAGGCTTGTGATTGCAGGAAACGGGTAACAGCCGACGGAATGAGTTTGAGACGCCGCCCCTTGCACACCTGCGGGGTTTCAATCCTTGCGACGGCTCACGGAGCCTACCTGAGAGCACAAGAGTTCAATGGACCGTCTGGATCCTTGTTCAAAAGTTTCACCAAATTAGTTAACAAAATCAGCCCGTTGGTATGTGCGGTTCAGTACCAATGCCTATCCATGCTCTCCTTCGTGGACAGTACCATCCTAGCTGCCGAGGAAGTCATCGAAAAAGTCTTCCCTACATCGAGTTATGTGTTTGACAAGATTGATGAGCTCGTCCAATTGACGGAAGCCCTCCCGGAGAAAGTCGACGACGTCATAAACAAAGTGCCGGGTTTTATCCACCAATTTCCATTTCTGGATTGGGTCTTGGTCCATGTTATATTGTGGTTGACGTTTTGGGTCTCGATAATAACTCACTGGGAATCAGGAACCGCAAGAGAGAAAGAGATCCCGGTCGACGCAAACCGTAACGAATGCTGCGATAGATCGGCGTGCTTAGCTGATGCAAACTACCCTGCTGATTTGGAACCGCATTTTGACAGCAGAAAAACAGGACAATTTTCTCCAGTGTCCGAAGCCGGAGGTGAGACAAGAAGTACAGCTGCGGAGACCCACGAAAAGGGCTCATACAAGGAGATATTAGAGAAGGGAATGAAGGAATCATACAAAGAGGTTCTAGAGAAGGGAAGGAAGGAAGAAGTAGAAGAAGGAAAAAAAGATAGTTTGGAAGGTGACAACAAATTGATCGATGTCAAACCTGAAGATGATGGGCAAATAGGGGAGGAATCTGCCGATGATCCCATTTTGGAGTTGTTCGAGTCAGCGTGGCTAAAGAAACCGGCAAGAAGGGAAAAAGGAGGCTCTATTGCACGATCTATCTCTTATTCGTGACTCGTGACAAACGAAAAACAAGAGATGCAGGCCTTCGTCGAATTCTACTTACTTCAGTATTGTATAGGCTTAGTTGTGACAAAGGAAAAACAAGAGATGCAGGCCTTCGTCGAATTCTACTTACTTCAGTATTGTATAGGCTTAGTTGACGAAAAAAACATACCAGTTTTCTGTTGATATAGAACCATTTGGCATTTCCGCCAGAAATTCATAACCAGACAATGGGTATTTGTATTAACGATCTGCACATAAAATCGTGTTAGTGTATTTGACAAGATAATACAGAAACTTCATACTTACCTGTTTCAAAATGTAAGGTAGGAAATCAACTTCCTCTAGCTTCCAATAAAACCAAATATCAGTGCTCATCAAGGGAAACAAGTGAACAAAATTGGCACCTTCAGGTTCAATTAGATTTTTTTTTGTTCATGATCAATAGATTCTAGAGCTGAGTATCCTGCAGCAACAAAGACTTAGTAGAACATCTTTGAAAATTGCTTGACCTCCAGGATACAGTGAAGAAGGTTAGACTGCTTACAACTTAACTTTCACCAAGATAAAATGGTTCGAGTATAGCAAGCAATAGACAAACCTATTGCTGAACACTGAAAACAAACTGGAAATAACTAGGCGTGAAGATGCATGTCAAGTAAGCGCTTGTTCACACATGTGATGCCATGCTATATGCAGGTGGTGTTGTCGTAACTCCTTTCTCCAATCAAAGCCTGTTTTCATCAAGGTTATGGTAGAAAATAAATTCTTAAAGGTGCCAGAAACACATATTTTCAAGAGCTGAAAGGTACTCACAATTTACCTCAAGCCCAAATCTATTTTAGCATGAGTGTGGTTGACGAAGGATATACAACAAAGAACTTTATCAAAATAAGATAAATTTACCTCCAAGAGAATTGATTCTAGAGCCTCCATGGTTCGTCCTCCTTTGCACAATGCTGTTGTCATGTACGCCTTTAGTGGACGAACTAAGACATCTGAATCAGCTGAACATGAGAATTAGGTCGGATCTCTCCTCTGAGATTGCTTGAAGAATCTTTGGTTTAGGGCATGAAGAAACACGGATTCTATGAGCAAGTCCTTGTAGTCCTTCATGGTTTTTAAATCATCAGCTGGCATTTTGTAGCTGATCATTACCACACTCTGCACCAATACAAATCAAGCTTAAAGCATCATGAAGAAACACTTCCCGGATAACAAACAAAGGCGAGTACCATGTACAAAAGAGAAAATTAACCATGCACTCACTGCAGCAGCTTTACATTCAACAAAATATGAAAACCGATATTCGCCATGAGATGGAACTGAATTGTTAGGAATTCGTTGTTTGTCGAGGACTGCGCCTTTCTGCCTGAAATGAGTGTTTATCATATCCACAACACTCTGTCATGGAGAAGGAGAGCTTTAGTAATCCTGGAATTTTGGAAACTAAACACGGTGCTTTGGGATGGGAAGTTGACATACAATGATACCAAACCTGATTATCAGGAAAGTCTCCAACAGCTATTACTGCCACATGACATAACCGGTATCATTTCTGATAAAACTGCTTTAAAGTCTCAGCAGGGACAGTTCGAATCACCATTTCTGTTCCAATAGCGGCCACAACCTTTGCGCTGGTAAAGTGGTAATGCTAAAATCTGACATTGGCAAAAGACTTCGTTAGTGGTACAAACTAACTGATAAGATACACTTTACAAGCTCTTCTAAAGCACTTGTAACTTGTCCTCTTTGTTATAGTTAACCAAGATGACAGCAAGGCTGACCCCACCGCAGTCGCGAACTATCGGGATAGTGATAAAAACGGTAAACAGCAGCAAAACCAAGAAACCTATCTTGGAAATTGCCTTGCTGATCACATGTCTTTTGAATTAGAAGATAAGAGCTCCCAACTTGAATCAGTTACATCTATAGGATTGCTATGCGATTCATTGGAAAAAACTTGCTCAGGATTGGAAATTTCTACCCTTGAGACATATTATCCGACACCGGCACAGCCAAATAACCCATGAGAAGTCGATGAAGTGCCATCTACAAGAAGAAGAACAAGAGGGGCCAACCGACTATTCAGGAGTCCCACCATCATATCGCCCATCAGCATGCGCACGACCTGACATGCAGGAAGAGTCAAATTTCATGATCCTTTCAACAAGTACTCCCTCCTGTGCAAAAGGAGAAAAGGAAAAACAAATGGGAACACCCAATGAATCCCACAGAGGAAAGATGAAAAGACAGCAGGAGAATGAAAAGCAGGCTCCTCCAAGAACCCTACTCTCAGATTGTTAAATGGGCAATGTGCAAAGCCAACTCTCTCCCCGTCCCCGGGAGGGAGAGAAGGGCAGTACAGACATTGATTTTCACAATGTTGACTGGCCACCAGACTACAATGATAAGGCAAAAAATGCACATTTCTTCTTACGACTTTTCGACATTCGTAGTACAACCAACTAAAAGAATCAAAGATGAGGTTGCTCAAAAGAGGAGTCATGCTTCCCTTGACAGGCTCTTATTGAAACAGGAAAATCTTGATGAGCAACAGTGGGGAGTGAACAAGATCGTTAAGCAGATTTTATGGGTGCGTTTGGGAATGGCTTTGGAAAGCCACTTCGGGCTAAAATTTGATGCTCGGGAAATTTTTTTCACAACCCTATTGGGAAAAAGCCAGCCTTGTGAAGGCTGAAAGCCCAAGGCAAGTCCTAGGCTGCCTTGGGCTTTTAGCTTTCTCAGCATGCAACAGTGCCGATTAAGTAGAAAATATTTCTTTCAAAACTACCCTCATCTATTTTTTGATTTTCCGATTTTAGCCTCGTCTTTCACTGTTCATCCTCTTCTTCGTTTTCCTCAGCCGGCGTGGCTGTGAGGGGACGGGGATGGCCGGAGAGGGGCCGGCGTGATCGCGCAACCCAGCGACCGTCGCCCGGGGTCGCACGATCGCCACTACGAGCCACACGACCCAGGCAAGGGCCGCCTGAGGTCGCGCGACCTAGACGGCCCTCGCCGGGAACTCACACGACCTCGGATAGGCGACTCATGATTTCGGCTGAGGTCATGCTACCCAGACAACCCTCGAGGGCCGCCGGCGACCCAAATCTGGCATCGCGCAGCTGTCGTCTGAGATCGAACGACCTCAGGCAGCCCTCGGCGACCACCAACGAGGGCCGCCTAGGGTCGAGCGACCCCCTCCACGCGAAACCCAGGCGAGGCGACCCTCGTCAGTGGTCGCCGAGGCTGCCTGAGGTCATTCGGCAGCCACGCAGCGTTAGATCGGGGTCGCCGGCGGCCCTCGCTTGGGTTTCGCGACCCTCGTCGGGGGTCGCTCAACCCCAGGCGGCCCTCGTCAGTGGTCGCTGGGGGCTGCCTGAGGTCGTTTGGCCTCAAACGACGGCCGCGCGGCCCCAGATCTGGGTCGCCGACGACCGCCTGCCCTTTGCCGATTCCGACGAAGGGTTTCAACTTTTCTTTAATAAAAAATATAAAAAGTGCCTTACGAGTATAATTTTTCCAAACGCTATTTTACTCAAAGTTGCTTTACAATGAACTTTTAAGTTACAACTTACCAAACACAATTTGTATTTTGAAAAACTCTTTCTAACTTAAAATCCTTTGCATTTTGCCAAAGACTTTCCCCAAGGTGTTCCCAAATGCAGCCACAGTACAGAGCATAATGATAGTCAATTGTCGTGTTCATCATCTAATGCACACACACGACAATGATGAGCACCGAAATTTGGAAATTTAAATGAACGCGTATGTAACAAAACACATACCTATATAAAGGCCATTAGCACGTGCAATAGTAGTGAGCATCAGAATTAAACCCCACCGCAACATCAGAACTAACTTTCAGATTACTAATGCAAGGGTAGACATGATCATCAGAGTGTTTATGCTCTAAAATCTCCCCCACTGAAACTGTAAGACCCTGAGAAAAGTTATATTGACACGGAACTTAACAAAAAACCAAATAAGACACTCAGTAAACCAGAAGTGAGAAAAATGGACTTCCAATCTTCATTTGGTTTTGGTGTCCCGGCCAAAATATACCTAATTTGTTTTGCGTCTCCTCAGATTTAGCAGAAGCTGCCTCAATTGTATCAAAACAACTTATCAAACTATTCTGACGAGAAGCACTTATAAAATAAAATAAAAAATAACATAGGATGACAAAAGGGAAAGAGGGGTGTTGAACATTACCTCTGCCCTGCGCCTCCGACGTCGTACGTGTGAGCTAGAGAAGCACGACCGTCGGTGGCGGGGTGTCTCGGTGAGGGCTTCGAGTGGGATAGTGTTGGTGGAGGAAGATTTGGTTTTCCAGAACTAGAAAAAGACAAAAAAAAAAAAAAAGGTTTTTTAGTGGTTAGTAATACGAAAAATCGTAAACTGGTAATTGACCAAAAACTAATTTTTGGATCGCCAAAAACTCCAAACTAGTACATTTGTGATAAATTTACCCTAAGTTAGTTTGATATTAATCTTCTGATGCTGAGAAAGTGACTCATTTTTAAAAAAAATGATATTTTTGCCAGTTTTTACGTGGGCATAACTTTTTCTTGTGGCATTCTATTAACTCAATTTTTGCACTTAAGGAAAGCCTATGAGCCAATATTTCAAAGAATGCTGTGCGGCTTTCAAAACAAAGCGTGGGATCGCAAACTTTCAAGAATTAACACAAAATTCGTTATTGTATTTGATGGGATAATAAAGAAACTTCACGGGTTGCTTTTGTGCTGTCTGATGTTGTGTGTTTCAGTTTATCTGCCGATTGGCTAGTGGGAACATGTAAGTCGTGTGCGTTGATTAGTCTGCCCTTTTTCGATTTTCTTTTGGCTCTGTGTTAACATGACAAGGACAGCGTGATCATCGAAAGAGACCACAGACTCGTCCGAAAATATACCACAATGTTGTCCTTGCTATGATCAAATAAGGCGTAATATTGGCCGTGTGGTGACTTTCACCTGTGTGTACAACACTCTACAGGAACGGAAATTGTTTTTGGAAGTATTCTTCTCTCAACAATCCTTCATTAACATTTTTTAATTGGTAATTAATGACTCGATAACGAAGATGCCCTTTAAAATTTCGGCCTGCAGCCAATGCCACAAGCCAGATTCGGGGCTCCGTGTTCCAATCGCAGGTGATACCACCACCGGCGGCCCTAGAACCACCACAACAAGGGGTGAGAAGGGACGGGGAGGCAGCAGTGTAGGCTCCAATTCGATTTGACAGGATGGACATATGCTAGCAACAGCTTCGCATTAATTAGACTGCACTCAGTTGTTTTACAGCAAGAATGTGAATTTCATATGTGATATCTATACTTTCTTTAACCTTTTGCGCTGGAAGTTGATTACTTCTAGTTTTTCACTAGTTTTTACTCAAATTTGGACATACTTTGAGCAGGCATAACTTTTTGGTACCGCGTTTCATTAACTCGATTTTTGCACCTACGAAAAGTCTACGATCCAATATTTCAAAGAATGTTGTTCGACTTTCAAAACAAACTTGGGATCGCGAACTTTCAAGGATTAGCACGAAATTCGTAACCATATAGTACAATGAGTATTTGTATATGTAACTGCTCAAAAAATCATGTTATTGTATTTGACGGGATAATACACAAACTTCATGCCATGGCCTGCTTTTGTGCTGTTTAATGTTATGTGTTTCGGGTTATCTTCTGTTTGGCTAGTGGGAACATGTAATTCGTGGGCGTTGATTAGTCCTACTCTTTCTTGAAATTTTTTGGCTGTGTGTTACCATGCCAAGGACAACGTGATCATCAAAAGTAACCATGGATTTGTCCTAAAATACCCATAATGTCATCTTGCTATATGATCAAATAAGGCTTAATATTGGCCACCGAACATATTGTGGTGACTTTTATCGATGAGTACGACACAACGGAGATTGTTTCGGAGGTATTCTTCTCTCAACAATCCTTCATTGGCATCTTTTAATTGGTAATTAATGAGTCAATGATGAAGTTGCCCTTTAGAATGATGCCGCAATATGCTCAAAGAATCGTGTTATTGTATTTGATGGGATAATACAGAAACTTTATGCCTACCTGTTTTTATTTGCTCAAGATGGTTCATTTCTTAGACGTAGTCCTTTCTACATAAAGTTTAATCCTGCGTGAAGCTATCAAGAGATGCTGGAACTTCATTATTGTTAAATGGTTCAAACACTATAGCTATCATCATTCCTATAGACCAGCTTTTGATATAAAAATGAAGCCCTAAGATGAATCATTTGTGTCCTAAGCAAAGGAATTATTAAATCTAAACGTCTTTCATGTTCATATAATGCAATGGCTCTGTCTTGCAAACGAGTAGATAACAAAAGATATTAGAAGCTTCTGAAATGGAGAGCAATTCTCCACCACTAATTGCAGGCAACAAATTTAGAAGCAACTCCTTTTTAGATCGATTTACGTGTGCAAAAGTGCAAATAGAAATAGAAACAGAGCTTATTTTTTTCATTGGTAATAGAAATAGATAAGTTAGTCAAGCCTTCCTAGGTAACGTGCTTCAGAAGATCCAAACACACTCAACAGCAAAATCCAGTTTAGTCACTGAAGAACGCAAAGATTTAGATGGGACATCTTGGGTCTATGATACAAATCGATCTCATGTCAAATTTGACCTGACTTTCACAATTTCAACAAAAGGATTATACTACACATGGAGTAATTACGCAAATCATGTTTATTTGACATAAAACAAGATCAAATCAACCATGCTCAATACCGAGGCCTTCCACAGTTCAGTCAGCATAGGGTGTTAGAGATCTTCTCTAATGCATTTTGCACTCATCCAGCTGCTGAGCAAGTCGAGCACTACTGAAAATCAAGTTAACATAATTTGTATTAAGTTAAGCGCCTCTTTGAGTAATTACACCAGAATCAGCCACACTACATAATGTTCCGTGCTAGTTAAGCCTTTGATTCTGGCATAAAGAATTAACAATGTCCCTACCAGAGAGAGAGACAAAAATCCATTCATTGCACGAGGAAACTGTACATCTCTTTTTTATCTTAAGAAAATCAAAAACAGATGATTCTGCCCAGCAGAAAAAGAAGATACCACAAAAAAAATATACAGATTGCGATGCCATCTAACACTGGTAGACTGAGTAACTCTTGCTCTTCCATAAAAAGCCCCAGCCTTTGCCTGTTTTCCTCCTAGATATAGACTTACAAAGCGGCTTGGCTTCTGGAGCTGATGACATGGTCCTGTGACCCGTTTCCTCTGGCTGATGATGATGCCGCTGGCTCAAATTGGCAGGAGATTGATCTCGTTGCCGTTGCTCACGGAACAGCATCAAAAGTTTCTGAGCCTTTTCTCTCCCTCTTAGGGTCCCATTCACCGAAATGGACACCAATGCAGGTATAACACCTTCTTGTAGCACCATTTGAATGCACTTGTCATTTCCATTACACAAAACTAAAAGACATAACACAGCTTGCTCCTGCTCAACGGGCTCTCCAGTGTCAAGTACCGTGGCAAGTATACTTATGAGTTCAGGGCAAGATACCATTTCATCTTTTCCTGATTGGCTTGAAGCTAAATTTATAAGGACAGCTATCGACTTTTCTGTCCACATTTGGTCGCTAGAATCTGCAAGAAGAGATTGAAGGCCACTGATAATGCCTGCCGAAAGCAGGTATCCAATATTGTCGTGGTAGGTGGAGAGATTGTAAAGGGCATGAAGAGCATCAAGCTTGCACTGACGTGCTGTTTCATCTTTAAGAACCTGGATCAGAAAGGGTACAGCCTGACTCGTGCCAATTATGGGCTTGGCATCTTCAAGACAGGAAAGATTCAGATATAGAGCCGTTGCTGATGGATGAGAGTTATGGTTGGATATCATTTCCTCGAGAAGTGGAATGACTTGGGCAGCTAATATCAACTCCTTGTTCCTGAGGAAAAAGAAGCAAGGAGAACAGATGTTAAAACATTGATGTGTTAAGCAAAGAACGATGCAAGAAAGTACAGGGGGAGGTGGAGAACTGGGAGAAGAAAGTGAAGGCAAAAATAATCATGTTGTGCTATTCAGCATATAAGGAACAGCACAGTAATTCTCCTATACGAAAAGACAAAAGCAACACTTGAAACATGTCATACTGATGGACAAACTAAAAACATAATAGTCTTCCACCACTTAGTTTTCAAACATTTAAGCTGGAAGCAGAATGGAAAAAGAAAAACACCTCATGCTAAAAGAGAAGCCCCAAGAGGACATCAAAACTTGAGTACAAGAATCAGAGAAAGGAGGGAATAGTGGAAAACATAAATGACAAAACGACAATATTGATCCAAAATGCATGAAACTCTAGTCCTATGGTCATAAGATGTGAAAAGGAAGCCATAAGAGGCATTGTGTAGAAACAATCTCGATCATTTCTGCAGACAACAGCAAATTCTTTGTAGCTGTTAATAAAAGGAATACAAATATGCAACATGGAGCCCAAGTGCGTGAAACTCTGGTACTGTACCCACTGAATGGCCCAAAAAGAGAATTATAGCATCCACTAATGACTGAATACCCTCTTGCTTTTGCCACATAATTAATTGTCAAAATGCCCAAAAGAGTATCGAGACCTCTAAAACAGCAATACACTAAAAGGCAAACCTGTTATTGTTGACAGCAAGGTTGAATAGAGCCATTGCTCCAACGTCCTGAGCTATTACATTCCTCTCACGGACAGCCAACTCCAGAAACTGTAGAAGGGCTTCAACAAAGCCATTGGCCCCCATGAAAATTCTAGCCTCCTCATCATCCTTAAGCAAAAGCCTGATTTGTTCTACCACTTTGCATTTTCTGCACAATTCCTCTCCTCCATTTAGCACTTTAAGAAAATGATCATGTTTTTGAAAAATATTGACCTCGGGCACTTGTTCTGATGCAGAAAACTTTTCTTTCTCATCCTCTTCCTCCTCAATGGTACCACTCTCCTCCAAAGGAACAACTTTGACACCCTTTGACTTGCGGGAACCGACACAGTTCATTGATCTCGAATTTGTGGACTCAGACTCAGACTCAGACAACGCCAGCCTCCAATAATTCAAATCAAGAGACTCTGGAGGCCCCTCTGGGACAGAAACACCATTTTGCTCGCACCAGCTAGCAACAAGTCCTTTCACACAGTAATTAGGAGTCAAACAAAGATGAGACAGCTTCTGTTGAGTTTTAGGACAGGTGTTGTGCCCATCACTAAACCATTTCTCAATACAGATCCTTTCATATGTCTGTCCAGAAGAAATAATAACTGGATCATACATAAGCTGCAAGGATATCGGACACCTCAACTCTTCTGGTGGAAGTGGCATCTGGCCTGATTTCCTGATATTGGGCCTGAAGTTAAAAGAACTCAGCTTTGATAGCTGTCTTTCAAATGCTTGACCATTGCCCACAGTGCCTCCCTCATCAAGGGAACCCTGAACGGTTGGTGAACAAGGAGTTGATCCCTGCGAATCATTGTCATCAGAGAATTCACTCCTAAATAACTTCGAATACTTTCGCATTAGATGTAAAAGATAAGCCACAATTGATTCCTTTCGCTTATCTTCCTCTGCCCTAGCTCTTTCAATAAGTTTCTTTAGAGCTCTTCTCTCTGTAAGAGCTGCTCTAGAAGAGGTGATTCCAAGTTTAGTAGCTGCTTGATGGAAAGACTCAAGTTCATTGTTATCGTTAGAGTCATTAAATTTTCGTCCTTGCTGGAGCAATGCAATTATTTCCTCGCCAACTTGCTTCTCCTGCAGATCAAGTGTAAATACAACAGCCTCCAGTTCGGCAACAATCTCCAATATCTGCAAAAATGGAATACTATGTCGGGTTCAGCCTATTTCCATTTAAGCAAGAGAGACTCGTGGACCATTGCAATTACTTAAACGAAAATAGAAAAAATACAACATGCAAAGCAATAGCATTCAATAAAATTGCCAAAGTACATACAAGGGCAACGGACTTGTAGAAACATATAGATAATTGCCACAAAGAATGTTCCGTTAAATCAGTAAAGAGCAAAAGAGTAGGTCTCTCAGGACCCCTCATCTAAAGGTTTGCTTCCTTGATAGTAGTCTCCATTAAAATCAGTTTGATTTACAAAAAAATGAACTTGCCCCTGTATCAATAGTAGTTTAAACGACTAAAAATTACCTGACAACTAAAAGACTGCGGGACAATGTCTTCGACTCTTCTGAGGCTATCTGCAAGAGCAGATCGAGCTTTTTCAAACTTAAGAAGAACAGAATCCCCTGTTATTGCCTGCAAAGAAAAATGGATTGCTGAGAGAAAAGTACAGAGCTTGGCCCATGTAATCAAAACTAATGTAATAATCAAATAAAAATAGGAGAAGAAGATAAGACATCTGACACCAACTGCCTCTTCATTCTCTCAAAAGAAACATCTGTTGGAAACCGCATAAAATCCACGATGCAATAAGATCACAAATAAGAGAATGGCATCTCTAAAAGTTCGAAGAACATTACCAGGTAAAGTTTACTACATTCTGAGCAATGCTGAAGTATAGTCTTGGTTTTTTCCAGGGCCACATGCAATGAACACAGAGCCTGAATTCCAGATTTGCTTCTAGGCCTCACAGCTTCTAATTCAGGGAAAATTGCCAATACTTTGCAGTAAATTGCAGAGAGAGTCCTACACATCTCTCCATGTAACTGAAAAACGCGATTCATCAGATCAGTCACCAAACTCCAATTGTGGACAAAATAATTGACTTATCATGGTCCAGTGCCAAAAATAGGCACTCTAAGCAGATTTTTGTCAAATTATTGACAATTTCAGAGTTACAATTTAGACAGTAAACAACACTCTTCATAACCAGAGCCTTCTAAAACTAGAACAACTCTTGCAGTATAAAATCTACAAAACAGGCATGATAAGGTTCATTTCAACTTACTAATCAGTATCACCAGAAACCCATAGTAACAAGTACAAAAACCACCCTATGTTTTTGTGCCAACAAAATAAACAACTAAATATTTCGAAAGATGGAAAAGCTCTTTTCGATGGTTGAGGAAGTATCGATACAGGAATACTGGCTCTGGCACAACATTGACTAGCAGGCTTAGCTTCTAGCATAAAGATTACCTTAGAAATCAATTCTTTTGACAAATTTTGCGTTTATATAGTCCATTCATACCTTGGCATCGCTAGCTGCAAAATAACTTTCTTCAACTTCAATAACGTCCATAGTTCGTGCCAACGCGGAAAGCTCCTAAGCAAGTTTCTATAGTCTGCCACAGAAAAAATGGAGCAATTCCATCATTAGAAAAGAAACAAAATCCTTCAGTATCAACATCTGAAAGACGACACAGCTACCGAATTCCGAGACAGCCAAATAAATTTGTGAGAGGGTCAAAGGTAACAGGCTACAGGGCACAGTTACTTAAGACGAGAATTTTATAATCAACAAAAGCAGCAAAAGGAAGATGCCGCTAGAAACAAGAAATCTGCTGTATTCAGTTCCATCCCTCTTGGTTCGATTTTCCGCAGAATTTCAAAATGGGGAAAATCGAAAAGGAAATGAAAAACTTTCTTATCAAAGGAGGAAAATTCTATTGTTTACTCGCATCAAAGTGAAGCAACAGGCAAACAATGATTGATTGAATCAAGACAACTTAACGCCTATTTAAGACACAGCATAACGAAGCATTTAAAGAAGGACAAAAGGAAGAGAAACCTCATTTGCTCCGTCAGCTAAAAGGATCTAAAACGCTGAGAACATTAAAATTAAAGAAAAGAAAAAAAATCAGGGAAGAAATTTGCGACATTCCCTCAAACAGGTTGTGAGAAATTCCAGAACCCCATTTAAAAATAGGAGGAAAACATTTTCCACAAATGAACAAAATCCGAACGACGCCAGACATCACAAATGGAAAACGACGTGCTTATCCGAGATCTTACCCGAACCGAAACAGGGCCCTGATTTGACGAATACCAATCGATTCGGCACAATACAATACCCACAACCACACCGAAACCTCAACCAATCAAATGCCTAGCGTGCGACGCGCGAATCGTGCCCGAAAAACAGGAAGAAGAAGAATACGACTCCGACTGCGGCGACAAAAAGAGGAAAACAATCCCCCACGAAAAGCACGACGAATCCTCATCGCCGAACACAGAAACGGAACGAATGCTCCGCGGGGGAAGCCGGGGTTCGGATCCGGGAATGCGCGTGAGTACCTTAGAAGACACGAGGGAGGAGAAGAAGGGGAGGCCAAGGAGGCTTCATAGAAGAGCGCGCCCGCCACGAGAAGAGAAGCCTCGAGAGAGAGCGAGTGAGAGAGAGAGGGAGGGAGCCGCGAGGAGAGCAGAAATGGAGGCGCGAAACGGCGACGCGGTTGCCTTCTGCTCCTCCTCCGTCGCACCGCGATTCCCGAGCTCCGCTGGTTCAAATGGCTCCGCACGGAGAGAGAGAGAGAGAGAGACAGCAGCAGCAGCCGAGGGAGGAGGAGGAGAAGGAGGAGGAGGAAATAATAGTAATAATAATCTCAGCGAAGGGGACAAAAAGGGAAAAATAATGGCGATGGCTAAATTTTTTAAAAAAGAAAGAAAAAAAACACATTTTTGCGGGGCCTTTTTATTTTACTTAATTTTGATTATTGTATTTGGAAAAAGGGCAATTTAAGTGATACGAGAGAGATTCGTGCTGTCGTTTTCTGTTCCTTTTTTTCCTTCTGATTTTCTTCTTGGGTCAGATTTTTTTTTCGAATTTAAAAGCGTTGAAGAGGGACGCTTTCTTCAGTCGAGAAAATTAAAAATTGCGTTTTAAAAAAAGAGGGGACGAATTAAAATAATGGGAGGGAATTTCTTGAGGAGGGGGGGGGGATTTTTTTTGGCAATTTTCGCCGCTATTGTCTCCCCGGCTTCCGGCCGACAGTTGCCGACCTCCCCGTTTGTCGGCTAGCAGATCTGTCAATTGTGCCTCCCGAAATTACCCTTGTGTGTGTGTCCTCCTCCTATTGGATAATTTCTCTGAACTACTTTTAATGCAAGTCCTTACGCCAATAAAAGAATATATTAGCTCGGGAGCTGACTTGATTTTTACATCTACGGCTCATAAATTGACTCTCCTAAAAAAAGAAGCAAAGTGTCGTAGAATTTTTGTAAATTTAATAGGGATTGTTTCTCAAAGTCACCGTGTGTGCTGATTTCACGTCATTTTTTTTAAGTAGAAAAGTGAGAAAGGGCGATTGGCGCTAAAGACCTCTATATACATTATCATAAGGATTCTACACCCATTACGGAATGTTCAATTTGAGTTGTGGTTATTCCGTATGGCCAGCGACTTGAAAGCCCGAAGTTGGCGAGATTGTCGCTACATCCCACTAAGATGCTAGTAGTTTGGAAAATCTCTCAGCATAGACATGTCGTAGTCAGGGAATACAAAAAGAGGTCATTTGACCACTCGTGTTGTGAATAAATCCGGGACCTTATTGAAGATAAGCGACACATTTATCACTAGGCTAATTACTCTAGTGCTGACAATTTCGCAACAAAGTTATCTGCCATAATTTTGTCAATAATTTAATATTTTGAAGATGGCCTGATAAGTCTAATCATTCTTGACGCTTTTTAAACCAGAAAATCTGTTTGTCTTTGGGTCCAATCCTACTGTACTCGCATTTGAAGATGGTGGCGCTTCAAGTGGTCTTCATCACCGAGCAAAATACAAAAAAAAGCAAAAAAGAAGAAAGAAAAGAAAAGTAATGGAATTGGTCATGTACGAGTACGTGGACGGTATAAAGATCGCATAAAGATTGCACCACTATCATTTGCTCCTCGGTCAGCATAAGGGCACTGTCCACAGGTATAGAGGCGTAAATAATTTTCTCATAGTAATTTCGACATCACTCATGAATTTTCTATCCAATTTTGTAACCGAATAGGAGTTTCATAACAATAATCCTCGACGAAATGCCATAACAACCAAGTGCGCATTCACGTCCATTTGCTCGAAGGAAAACAAAATTAAGGTTACACGTCGATTGTCAAAAAGACTTTTATTCGAGATAATTACTGATCGGATCAGTATATAATTTTTTTATTTTAATCTGTCGATTATAATTAATTGTTAAAAATGAAACGATGACGTTGACAGTCGGGAAGAGCTGCGAGGGGCAGTTTGGGGAGTGAGTTTTTATTGGGCAGCGGGCTGTCTCCAGGCAGGAATACGGAAACAGGAATCCCCTCGCGTGTCCTTTGTCCGGCCCCCCCCCACAAAAAGAAAATTTGGAAAATAAAATAAAATAAAATAGACAGCAATGCCTTGGGCCTCGCGGCTGCTCCACGTGGTCGTGTTTTCAACCACAGGTTTTTACAGCGAGTCACCCGATCACGACCCCAAAATTACCAAACTCACCCAATCCAGATCCGTTATCTACGGAATTCCCCGCCCCTGCTGTCCCTCCAATCAGCGAGGGAAATGAAATATCTTCGGCCCGACGACCCCCACGCGCAGAGGTAATTAAGAATATTCCCTATTTCAGATATGTTGATAGTTATGTGTTCTTAAAAAAATTTTCAGATACTTCGAATTAAAATTCGAATTAAAAAAAAAAATCAAAGTGCGTGCACCATGAAATTTCTATTAAACAAAGGTAAAACTTTGAAGTCAATCCAAATATGCTCTAAACTTTTGCTAGGCTTGTTTGCCGCTAAAGGGATCGCAATTGAAATAAGTTGGACTAATTCGAGTTCCTAACTTGCTCCATATATTATTTTCTTTTTCTTGTTGAGAAATGGGGGGTTTGGGTTTATTTGACGGGGACAACAGAACTCGACCCCCAACGATTTATAATATCGAAATACACTCACTATAGTTTTACATTGAAAGAGCAAATTATATTGATACTTCTGATAAATCCAATAAAAAAAAATTAAAAAATTTACCGAAGGGGTTGTCCGTACGTATTTTGAGACAACCTCTCGTATTGGCACAGAGCAAAAAATTGAAAACAATATGGTTCTTAAGCGAGAGTTTGAGATCTTACGCGCTTATATTGATCGGTTATGCTTGGAGTTGAGTTCAGCTTATTGGTCCAAATTTGGTTGAGGTAAAAGGGGTTTTTTCTTTTGCAAAATAAAATGATTTTTGCTTTTAGTTTTTTCATGCGTTTTTTTATCTCGAACGAAGAACAAGAGTTCGATCATATACAGGAGCGACAACCAGCCGTGCCTCGAGGGCCTGGCCGATCGGGCCTATGGGCTTCAATAGGCTGACCCAGGCCCGACATTATTTTTTAATTTCGACTTCCCTATTTGTGTTGCTGACTCGACATTCATTCGTTGCCACGTCATGGCCACAGTCATCGCTTAATTTATTAGTACTTCTACCGTTACTCACTTGATAACACTATGAACGAGCATATACTTATGTACCGAAACACCTCCCTTGCGCACTCAACAGTAGTAGGTGCGGGGTTACCACGCGCTGTGGGCGAGCGTGACCGCGTGAGCTCCGAGGATCCTCCCCACTCCTGACCTTTGAAAATCTGCTTACGTCCGCACGTTGACCATGCACGTCACCCGATCGTACACGTGGCAATCGCTTTGCTCGATTTCAGAAATTCCCATTCCCCGCATTTCTCGGTTTTGAACACTTCTGTTTTTTTGCACGCCTTGTTTGTTTGAAAAAAGAAGATTTATCTTTTGCAAGATGCTCTTGGCCATCGGAACCTCCGGGGAGTGGTTTGATTTGATGTGACTTTTTTTTTCCAAGAATTCAAGAATTAAAGAAAAATATTAACCAATAAGATGTGTAATTCGTGGGGCGGTCCATCTCATTTTCCAATGTTTCCCCAAAATCAGCAGTAGTCAGTCAACACATTTCTTGTTGGAATGCTAAGGCCTATTTGATAACCGGCCAAATAGTATCTGATTTTATTTTTTTATTTCTCGAAACAAAAAAAGAACAGAAATCCGTTTCGTAAATTTTTTGTTTCCGGACACAAATTTATTCATAGAATCAGTTTTGGAACAGAATCAAGAATAAAAAAAAAAGTCGATTATTGATTATGGGAACAAGAATTAGAAATGAAAAAGAAATTTTTTTTTTCTTCTTCTTCTTTCTTGGCCTGTGGCCAGTGGCCGCCGACCGGCCACAAGCCAAGGCTGGCGAGGGCGGCCCTCACCCAAGCTGTGAGGGTCCAGCCCTCACCCTCACTGGCCCTGGCCTATGGCTAGCGACTCGGCCATGGCCAATAAGGAGGAGAGAAGAAAAAAAGAAAAGAAAAAAATAGAAAGAAATATTAAACAATTTAAAATATTATTGACAAAAAGAAATTTTGTGCAGTTACCAAACGTATTTCTGTTCTTTTTCTATTCCACGAATGGAAATTTTGGGCCGTTACCAAACACTTTCAAATGCTTAGAAATTATTTTCGGGAACATAATAATAAAAAATTATTTCTGGGAACATAATGATTTACCAAATGCACCCTAAGAATAATCGAGTATACATGTGCCGAAGTTGGGGGGTTTCTATTTGTGGGAAGATAGTGTGGAAGTTTGGGAAGACTGGAAAAATCATCCTCTTATTTGATCCATCGGTGACTTTTGCATCTGAGCTTTGACTTTCGGTAATTATAAAATAATCCAACAGTGTAATTTTTTTTTTTTGCGCAAGCATATTTACGCACTGTAGATTAGAGAGAGCGACAAATATAATTTTCAAATCAATGGCAAATAAAGCTCGCTACCGTAAAAGTTTCCTTTTACATTGGTGGTGTGTGGTATGTTTCGATTAAAAATTATCAATTTAACTCATAGGATTTACGGCATAATCTAATCAAACCAAGATATTATGGAGCAAGATTGGTTAATAAAATTGGGCTCACATTCGCCATCGTCACCACTCCGAGGTTTGTAAGACCCTTGCCCTTGGCAAGGGCATTGGGCAACCTCGACGAGGGCCAAGCAACTCTCATTGGCCCTCATCGATGATTATACGGGGCGGTGATCCCCCTCTTCGTCTCGTGCGTTACCATTGCCTAAACAGACATTGTCGGCCGACGCATCGACCCGCGTTTTTTTTTTTTCCCTTGCTCGTGTTTGATGATGTGGTACTTATTTAGCGTTGCCCCGATGCAACCATCCCTACATATTTATTTCGCGTAAACTTTAGAAAAAGGTCACGCTAGTAATTGCACCAGCCCTACTGCTCAGTACGAAATTTCGAAACGAGCACTCCACCAAAAATCACCGTTAAGAATTTTGCATTTCCTTTTTTGTTTTCGCAATAAAAAGTTTTCGTGTCGGGACTTGCCGTTTAAAATCCCGAAAAATGACGTGGAAATTCGGGAGCCAGACATCTCTGACCGGGGCCCCACGTTCCCTACGACCGAAAGTTGGAAAAAAAGAAACATTGCGTAGGGTCGGAGTTCGAAGGGACCACTAACGAACAAGATGCATTCACTGTCACCCCGAGTCAAAATCAAGATTCGGGTCCC